ACAGATCTGTATTTTATTCACTATCCCAAACATATTACATAGTACATATGTGTACACTTTATCAACTTCCCCCAATATTATACTTAGTACACATATGGACATTTTCTTCCGCTTCCCCGACTCTATTACAAAGTATTTATACCAACATATTGTTTCACTACATATACACATTGTATTCCACTACTCCGATCTAATCCATAATATTTGTTCCACACAATATTTTACCTGTCGACTACTCCGTTACAGTAAATATTTTTCTCTGACCAAATATGATTCTCCAACATAGTACATAGTATTCCGAAAATATTACAATGTAAACATATCCACTTTGTTCTAAACTACCACGAACATATTACACATTACACATATCCAAGTTTTCTTGTTGTTTGGAAATTATATCTTATCATCCAATAAGGACGGTTGGATAAAAAACAGAAACATCCATTCACCACCCTCATATAAAATTTCATCTAATTGATGTTTGAAATTTGATAGCTGATTTAAACCCTTCTGTCAAACAAACGTAAACCGACCCTTTTCCCACTGTTTTACACCGATAAAACAAGGAAGAGACCATGTAATTGATTAGGGATTATTAGGAGCTAACCATTAAATCAGTTTTAAAATAGTATGGCGATGATATTTATATAGGCGTATTATAACTTGAAAACGAACACCATAAGTGTATAAACACGTTAATTGATTTTTTTTTAAATATAAGGAACATAGACCAAATATGTTCTGCTCTTTTTAAACGTTTGTTATGGTGCAGATGTCCATAAAGAGTATAAGTACTGAAATAACATGTCATATACAGATTCCAAGATTTGCATGTATAGGAAATAATAATGATTGTGTTTCATCGTGAACACTGGAGATCAGATTGTGTGTATTCAACAATAACTAACCATAGCCTGGTATCCTGCATTTGCAATACCTCCTCCAGCACCCTACATTGTACAATGATAAATACATAAAACTACATGCATGTTAGTTCAAACACTTAAACCTTTACAAAAGTACACAAACGTTTGTTTTTTCGTCCACTACCCCTAACATAAACTAAAGTACATGTGTCCACATTTTCTGTTACTACTCTATCCATAAAGGACAACATTTTCTTACACAAATTACAGATGTTCACGTTTTCTTCCAATACTCCGTACATATTCACGTTTTCTGTTACTAAATCGAACATATCACAAAAAAATGGCTTTATTTTTTTCTTCTAAGCCGAAACCATATTACAGAGTACAATATATCTACATTTTATCCACTGCCCTAAACCTATTACAGTGTAAACATATCTACATTTTATCCACTACCCCAAACTATTACAGTGTAAACAGATCGACATATTATCCACTACCCCAAACTATTACAGTGTAATCATATCTACACTTTATCCACTACCCTAAACATATTACAGTGTAAACATATCTTTATTTTAACCATTACCCTAAACATATTACAGTGTAAACATATCTACATTTTATCCACTACCCCAAACTATTACAGTGTAAACAGATCGACATTTTATCCACTACCCCAAACTATTACAGTGTAATCATATCTACATTTTTTCCACTAACCCAAACCTATTACTGTGTAAACAGATCTACATTTTATCCACTACGAGACATATGTCCATATTCACTCAACCGTTATCATGTAGCATTTTGCCACTTGCGTTTTGTTGTTAATAGATATATGTTGTTCTACGTCATATTTTTGATATACTTACCACACTGATTGCTGATATATATATGTACCTCTGAAGAGGTGAAAGCGCTAGAGAAGTCGAAGAAATTCTTGTCTTTTGTTTTATATATATATATAATATCGTAAGTCATTGAATGATGGATATATCACGCATTCCTTGAGATGAAAACAAATACTTACTGCTCCGACGAGTTCCTGCAGAAATGAAAATGTATCAGTTATTTATTTTCAAATATTAGCGTGCATGCTATACTGGACATGCTATCTGTGTCCGGTGTAAGTTGCGTAAGAAAAAAAATATTTTCCATAAAATTATCTTTGCGATATTTCTTTCATAATAATCCAAAGAAGTGATACAATATGCATGTTGAACTGAACTTATAAAATAATGACCGTTATATTATTAGCATTGTCTTGTTAGTGACCACGTAAACACTTACCAAAGGACCAACCTGGGGAAAAAAAGAATATCAAACATATGATAGTGATCCAATTACGGTAATCCTCAGAACAGAAAGGGTATTTTATATCACTACTTCTCTGACATATCTTACAATACTACCCTCACATATTTTCAACACGGCCCTAACAAATCTTTTATTACTGCCCTTAAAGATCTATCACCAATGTCCTTACATATCTCTTTTAACACTGCCCTTACATATCTTTCATCACTACCCTAAAATATCTTTCACTTATAAAATCTTTTTTAACACTGCTCTTACAGATCTATCATCACTGCCCTAAAACATCTTTCACTATAACGCTATAAAATATTTTATCACTACCCTTGCTGATCTTTGACCACTGTCCTAACAAATCTTGAACGTCGTAACTTTGGCCACTAAACAATGAATACTTATATATTAGTATCATAGAAAATAGAACATATGTGGTTACTCTAACCTAGCTTACATGGACATGTAACAATCAATACTTTACAAAAACTAATATTGACACCAAACAATACATAACTTAACCAAACTTTCATCAACATCAAACAATAAATCGCTTTTTTATAGCTTATAGCGACACAAAACAATATCTCGCTTTACTAACCACTATCATCGACATCAAAAAACACTTCGCTTTACTAACCACTATCATCGACATCAAAAAACACTTCGCTTTACTAACCACTATCATCGACATCAAAAAACACTTCGCTTTACTAACCACTATCATCGACATCAAAAAACACTTCGCTTTACTAACCACTATCATCGACATCAAAAAACACTTCGCTTTACTAACCACTATCATCGACATCAAAAAACACTTCGCTTTACTAACCACTATCATCGACATCAAAAAACACTTCGCTTTACTAACCACTATCATCGACATCAAACAATACATCGCTTAACCAAACGTTTTATCGACACCAAACAATGAATCGTTTTTTTAAAGCTGTACTATACACGTTCATCATTACCAAACAATACATCGCTTAGCTTAACACTATCATCGTCATGACAAAATGCATCGTTTAATAAACACTATAATCGACATCAAACAATACATTGCTTAACCAAACACTATTATCGACATCAAATAGTACATCGCTTTACTAAAGACTATCATCAACATCGATCAATACATCGTCTACTAAACACTATCAGACAAAAAACAACACATCGCTTACTAAACACTATCATCGACAGAAAACAAAACAGCACTTTACTAAACACTATCAGACAGAAAACAATATAACACTTTACTAAACACTATCATACACAGAAAACAATATAGCACTTTACTAAACACTTTCATCGACAGAAAACAAAGTAGCTTTACTAAACACTATCATCAAGACCAATGATAAACATCTTTAAAAAACACTATCATCGACAGAAAACAATGGCTTTTAGTTTGTAAACTCAACAAGAAATAATTCCAGTATATTAAGATTGCTTAATGCGTTGCCGGTTTTTCAACAAAGCAGTTATCGCATACATAAATGAAAGTATATCGAAACTTTTGCTATGCTAAAATGATTGTGTTTACAGTGGTGATGGTCAAACTTTGAATACCATTCTCCAAAATCCAGCAAGCACTTATGTAATATTTAAAATGTCAAGTGAACAAATTGTTTCTTGCACAAAAATATAGTGTATGGTTTAAAAAGATATGTTTTCAGTCAGAAAACACGTTATTTCCTATAGTTTCTATGAACAAAAATCAATTAAATTGTTATTTGATAAAAAAAAAAAAAATCTTACCGCCTGTCCGAATCCTCCTATAGAGGCGCCGCCGCCCATAACCTAAAATGAATAAAAAATGTTGCATTGTTAGAATAAGTGAAGTTTCTGGAAATCTCACATGTTGTATATGAGTATATCTTGAGTCTCCAAGTTCCCGTTCACAAATAATTCAAGCAAAAGAACTGAAGCATTTGGTATATATCTTGTTATCATTTTATTTCATCCATACAATCTATAAAGTTATGTGAACTATATGTTTTGTCTTGTTAAATCCTGTTATTATGTAAGGTAGAATATAAACAGTTTACTTATATTTCTAAGTAGCTGGTATTAGGAATGGGATAACCTTCTTTATTAAGAGATTTACGGCGATATACATGTACCGTGACTAAAGTATTTGTTAGAACACACTTTGACATAATGTAAAATAATCAACTTCATGTTTAAAAAAAGCTTTTTTGATGAATAATCAAGGTACGTTAAAGTTATATAACCAAATAAATGCATAAAGCTATATGGGTCATGGAGATGTATATGTATGATGTTTTAAAGGATTTTACTATCATCTCTTTGTTACTGAAGGCATTTTTACGCTTTAAAATAGGGTAATTAGTCTATAATGTTTCAGTACTTACGGCATTTCCACCGGCGTACTACAAATAAAAGGTCTGAATTGCATTTTCACACAAAAATAAAAATCCGAGGTTTCTTATTAATGTCTTAATCTAGTCTTACTCTAGAGGTCATATAACCATACAAAATGAGAAAAACTAAATGAAGTTTATTTGTCATAGCCTGCAAACGCTACAGTATATAACGGAATCATAGAATGAATTGATCAATACATGATTCAAAAAGACTCTATCTGATGACGTAATGAATAACAAACTGCATAAATTAATTAGTACAATGAAATCACATTGTACATACAAAAGATAACAAACAACGTATGAAGCACATATAAGTGTAGAACGTTCGAAAATTTAACACTGAGTAATGGTAATAGAATGAGTTTTAATAAAAATACGTGTAGGTTCACGCTTTAACACTTGGTGAAATAATCATTTTAAGTTCAAATTGTAAATAAAATTGCAAACCATTTCAAGGCTATTTCAAATAACTTACCATAGATGGAGCAGAAGAGTACTGAAAGCAAAAGAAAAAGACATAGGTGCAGTATTTGTTATATTGCTATAATACAATTTAAATATTTAATCATCAAATTGATTGCTGTTTGGTTCAAAGTAGGTTTTGATGACTAAACTAAGAATAGATGGTAAATTATTAAATCCTTAGATCGATTTATGTTGCTTTATATCATGTTTGATTACTACACTAAGAACACTGGTAGATCAACCTTATTTGAGGAAATAGCAAACATGTTAGTGGCAATAGTATCCAAGTTGGTAATACCAGTTAAATGTACAGTTGCTGACACTCTGTAGAACCATTGAGTGTCGTTAATATTTACTGGGGCTGGAGGCGTATTCCGACCATACTAATCATCTAATTGAAGCTTTCTGATTATATACAGCTACGGCAAATGATCATAACGTATTAATTGCAATGGGGATCCTTTAAAAAGGCTTGTTTATCTTGTTAATCCAGCAAAATAAATACCTTGTTTCATAAATTTGAACTCCAAATTATTGCGTAATTCAAAGATTAAATCACTGTCTTTAAAAAATGAAAAGGTAAAAAGGTTAAATATCGATATCATTTGTTATGACATTTTGGTCTGAAAAAGCCGAATAACAAATTGAATACAAAAAAAATCTTCAATGATTTCTTTCCGCTCTTGATTTAGAGAATTAATCATTGTTTTCATTCTGCACCCATCAAAATGACAAGGGTCTACCTTTAATGATGAATAGCATATCAGTTAAGTTGAAAGCTATCGTTATATGAGAACTAGGAGTAGCCTAATGATAAGAAATAGGTAATTAGTACATGCACTAGTTGTGTAGTACTTACTGAACCTCCCATGCTATATCCCTACAAATAAAAAAACAATCTAATATTATTGTTAATCGTATTTCTAAACTGATACATGAAATCGAAGTCTTGTAATTGAAGTAAAATTACTAACTACACAAAATAGGAAAACGTTAGATAATGTGGTTATTTTATTCCTTATAAAATGATATGGACTTTTATAAATTTCATGTACACGTTTATCATTTTAAAAGGTAAAGGTTTGAAAAGGTATCTAAGGGTGTTATTAAACCACATTTGTAAACTGTATATCTCAATCTAAATATCATACTAATAAATGCACTATCATCTCTTTGTTACTGAAGTCATTTTTACGCTTTAAAATAGGGTAATCAGTCTATAATGTTTCAGTACTAACGGTATTTCCACCAGCGTACTACAAATAAAAGGTCTGAATTGTATTTTCATACAAATTTAAAATTCGAGGTTTTTTATTAATGTCTCAATCTAGTCTAACTATAGAGGTCATATAACCATACAAAATGAGAAAAACTAAATGAAGTTTATTTGTCACATCCTGCAAACGCTACAGTATATAACGGAATCATAGAATGAATTGATCAATACGTGATTCAAAAAGACTATCTGATGACGTAATGAATAAAAACAGCATAAATTAATTAGTACAATAAAGTTACACTGTACATACAAAAGATAACAAACAACGTATGAAGTACATATAGATGTAGAACGTTCGAAAAATTAACACTGAGTAATGGTAATAGAATGAGTTTTAATAAAATACGTCTAGGTTCACGCTTTAACACTTGGTGAAATAATCATTTTAAGTTCAAATTGTAAATAAAATTGCAAACCATTTCAAGGCTATTTCAAATAACTTACCATAGATGGAACAGAAGAGTACTGAATACAAAAGAAAAAAACATAGGTGCAGTATTTGTTATATTGCTATAATACAATTTAAATATTTAATCATCAAATTGATTGCTGTTTGGTTCAAAGTAGGTTTTGATGACTAAACTAAGAATAGATGGTAAATTATTAAATCCTTAGATCGATTTATGTTGCTTTATATCATGTTTGATTACTACACTAAGAACACTGGTAGATCAACCTTACTTGAGAAAATAGCAAACATGTTAGTTGGCAATAGTATCCAAGTTGGTAATACCAGTTAAATGTACAGTTGCTGACACTCTGTAGAACCATTGAGTGTCGTTAATATTTACTGGGGCTGGAGGCGTATTCCGACCATACTAATCATCTAATTGAAGGTAAATGATCATAACGTATTAATTGCAATAGGGATCCTTTAAAAACTCCAAATTATTGCGTAATTCAAAGATTAAACCACTGTCTTTAAAAAATGAAAAGGTAAAAAGGTTAAATATCTACATCATTTTTTTATGACATTTTGGTCTGAAAAAGTCGATTAACAAATTGAATACCAAAAAAACTTCAATGATTTCTTTCCGCGCTTGATTTAGAGAATTAATCATTGTTTTCATTCTCCACCCATCAAAAGGACAAGGGTCTACCTTTAATGACGAATAGCATATCAGTTAAGTTGAAAGCTATCGTTATATGAGAACTTAGAGTAGCATGATGATAAGAAATAGGTAATTAGTACATGCACTAGTTTTGAAGTACTTATTTAACATCCCATGCTATATCCCTACAAATAAAAAGTAAAAATCTAATATTATTGTTAATTGTATTTCTAAACTGATACATGAAATCGAAGTCTAGTGATTGAAGTAAGTTTACTAACTACACAAAATAGGAAAACGTTACATAATGTGGTTATTTTATTCCTTATAAAATGATATGGACGTAATGAATAACAAACAGCATAAATTAATTAGTACAATAAAATTACATTGTACATACAAAGATAACAAACAACGTATGAAGCACATATAGATGTAGAACGTTCGAAAATTTAACATTGAGTAATGGTAATGGAATGAGATTCAAATTAAATGCAAAGTATGATTGATGGTTGATGTAAGTCATAATCGACCAATGGGGCTCAGAAATTTATGGTTCTTAAGTATCACTGTCCCGCTGCATACTATTATTTCCTATAAACAGTAGCATTCACTTAACTTCCGTTTGTATATAACTGTAGTACAATGAACCAGGACAATTCTGTTTACCAAATAGCTCAATTGGTTAGAGCGATAGTAAATCAATGTATAAGTCCATGGTTCGAATCCTGTGGTAGCCCTGGGTTTTTTACACTCAGAACAACTGTTGTTGATTAATTTTTGTTTATATAATCTTTATTATTTCTTGATAAATAGAACCGTAAAGAAATTTCAAAGAAGTTACGGTGTATTTCAATGTTTTTGATAACAACCATTACTGAGCAGGATGAGTAATAAAAGCAAGAGAAAAAGTCGTATTCGTTATCATTCAATCAAAAGATAGATTCATTTTTGGTGCCAAGTATTTTGTGGACAACCAGACAAATAGACATAAATTATTACATCAGACCACTCAAATCTGGATGCGGGGTCTTAATAATAAAATAACATAAACCGAATATCGTGATACGATTCATGTAATTTCCATATGCACATTTATCACTTTTGAAACAGCTTAAGGTCCTTTTGGTCGGGTTCCGTAAATAAAGGTGTGGGTTTTTTTAATCGTAAAGGACAACTCTCTCATTACAATTAAGGATCCCCGTACCACTGCCAAAAGAAGTTACACTTGAGACCGATTTTGCCGGCATTACTACAGCTTTGATAAAAACAAAACAATATTCAACAACAATTTTTTGAGGTAAAACTATGAACGGGCCTAGACCTGGATTCGAACCCTAGACGAGAGGCCAAGGTTACTTAAAACCTGGCTAACTTTCACTAGTGAACATATTGTTGTCAATAAGAAACAAGTGATTGCAAAACGAGGAAAATCCGAAGAGCCTATAACTCTTGTCTGTCTCATCGTATCTATAGCAGTAAAATATCAGATGTTCTTGATTTTGCGTTCACTTATTTTTTTCATTTTCCCTAACCACTCGTTCACTTAAACCAACCTTCGAGCAAATGGGGCCTAGTTGTGTTCTATCGCTCTACCCAATTGAGTAACCTGGTCAACGGAAAAATAAAATTAAAGGAAGGCTACCGTATATTCGACAAAACCACGGTACATGTGGAAAGGGGTCCTTAAGTATTGAAGTAAATAGCAATGCCTATTATAATCAATAGTAATATTTTTTTCGCAACTCCGTCGTTATTTAATGTCGGCCGGTGTAGCAACATAATGAGAGTAATATCAGTTGGGCAATGAAACAATGAAATGTATGTGATATGTCGTAAACACTACAGCATAATATGGTGCAATTTAAGAAAATTATCAAATATTTTCTGTTTTTGTTTTGCTTATTTACATACGGGTTCTATAAAAATAATCATCAATGGTTGTAAATATACTTACAGTTGGCATTGTAGGGTACTACAACAAAAGAGAAAAGAATAAATATAATTCTATTTATTCATTAAATCATTTCCTACCTCCATATTATTGCCGTTTTCTAGAACGAAACGGTCTCAAAATATTTATAGCTCATTAACGATGATACATCATGTTTCCATTGAGTTTTAAACTTCCATTTATGATCCTTTCATTAAAACACGTACGGCGCACATAAAGCCAATAGGATTTAATTAAAAACATTAAACTAAACAAAATGGCGAATCATCTTACACATTCGTAATGAATATTACTTACTGTGTTCCCCACGTTATATACCTACAAATAAAAAGATAAAGAACATTTTGAGTTGCCCTCAGTATATTGAATGATGACATACTTCATCCTTCTTTTCTGTATTACTTATAACTACTTGAAGCTCATTGAATATTTGATATTATGTGTTCATTGAGTTCTATAATGTAAAATGATATTTAAAATTACATCTTTTATTCATGATCATTTAATTAAAAGATGTACGTCAAATCAAACGAAAGGTCATATCAGCTTCTCAAATTTATCAACATGAATATTACTTTCTGTTGCCGGAACAGTTAGTTTTATTATCTTTGCACTTTTTCAATGCATCTTTCCTTATTAATTCGAATTACGGTTTTGCTGAAACGTTTTATCGTCAGAATTGAAAACTTCAAAGAGTGTATATATTTACCGCCAGTCTTAACATATTTGAGAGTGTGTTTATTTACTGTAAGTATTAAGTTTTTATGATTACTGTCGGTTTTAATAAATTTGAGAATGTATATAATTACTGTAGGTATTGATAAACTTGACAGCGTATAAAATAAATGTCGGTATTGACAACGTATATTGATAAACTTGACAACGTATATTGATAAACTTGACGACGTTTATTTATGAACTTGACAACGTGTATTGATAAACTTGACAACGTATATTGATAAACTTGATAAGTTGATAAATTTGAGAGCGTATATATTTGCTGTCGGTATCAAATTAAGAGTCAACATAATTACTTTAAGTAATGATCTATTTGAGAATGTTTATCATTACTGTCGGTTTTGATGAACATGAGAGCGGATATAATAACTGTCGGTATTGATGAATTAAAAAGTGTACATAATAACTTGACAACGTATATTGATAAACTTGACAACGTATATTGATAAACTTGACAACGTATATTGATAAACTTGACAACGTGTATTGATAAATTTGACACAATATACTGATAAACTTGACAACGTATATTGATAAAATTGACGACGTTTATTTATGAACTTGACAACGTATATTGATCAACTTAACAACGTGTATTGATAAACTTGGCAACGTATATTGATAAACTTGACGTGTATTGATAAATTTGAGGGCGTATATATTTGCTGTCGGTATCAAATTAAGAGTAAACATAATCACTTTAAGTAATGATCTATTTGAGAATGTTTATCGTTACTGTCGGTTTTGATGAACTTGAGAGCGGATATAATAACTGTCGGTATTGATGAATCAAAAAGTGTACATAATAACTTGACAACGTATATTGATAACCCCGACGACGTTTATTTATGAACTTGACAACGTATATTGATCAACTTAACAACGTGTATTGATAAACTTGAAAACGTATATTGATAAACTTGACACCGTGTATTGATAAACTTGAGAGCGTATGTATTTAATGTAGGTATCGGTCAAATTGATATTGTATGTAATTACTGTATGTTATGATAATATTGAGAGCATATATAATAACTGTCAGTATCGATTTTCTAATGAGTGTGTATTTTTGCTGTCGATATTGATAAACTTGAGAGTGTTTACATAGTTATTGTCGGTATTGATCAATTTCATAAACAAAAACATATTATACATAGTATATTTAAGTACGGTTTCAATGTTAAATATCAGTAACTGTTTATATACTTACTGTTGGCATTACAGAAGAATACTGTATAAAAGAAAAGAAGGAAAAACATTTGTTTTCGTATCAACTTAACCATTTTTAACACCAGATCAAATATTAAATCAAGCGAAGCTGGTATTAAGTTTTATAATTACGGTACGTATTGATAAATTTGACAACGTATATTGATAAACTTGACAAAGTATATCGATAAACTTGACGTGTATTGATAAAATTGAGAGCGTATATATTTACTGTCGGTATTGATCAAATTGATAGTGTATATAATTACTGTATGTTATGATAATATTGAGAGCATATATAATAACTGTCAGTATCGATTTTCTAATGAGTGTGTATTTTTGCTGTCGATATTGATAAACTTGAGAGTGTTTACATAGTTATTGTCGGTATTGATCAATTTCATAAACAAAAACATATACATAGTATATTTAAATACGGTTTCAATGCTAAATATCAGTAACTGTTTATATACTTACTGTTGGCATTACAGAAGAATACTGTATAACAGAAAAGCAGGAAAAACATTTGTTTTCGTATCCACTTAACCATTTTTAACACCAGATCAAATATTAAATCAAGCGAAGCTGGTATTAAGTTTTATAATTACGGTACGTATTGATAAATTTGACAACGTATATTGATAAACTTGGCAACGTATATTGATAAACTTGACGTGTATTGATAAATTTGAGGGCGTATATATTTGCTGTCGGTATCAAATTAAGAGTAAACATAATCACTTTAAGTAATGAACTATTTGAGAATGTTTATCGTTACTGTCGGTTTTGATGAACTTGAGAGCGGATATAATAACTGTCGGTATTGATGAATCAAAAAGTGTACATAATAACTTGACAACGTATATTGATAACCCCGACGACGTTTATTTATGAACTTGACAACGTATATTGATAACCCCGACGACGTTTATTTATGAACTTGACAACGTATATTGATAAACTCTGTCGGTATCAAATTAAGAGTCAACATAATTACTTTAAGTAATGATCTATTTGAGAATGTTTATCATTACTGTCGGTTTTGATGAACATGAGAGCGGATATAATAACTGTCGGTATTGATGAATTAAAAAGTGTACATAATAACTTGACACCGTATATTGATAAACTTGACAACAACGTTTATTTATGAACTTGACAACGCATATTGATAAACTTGACAACGCGTATTGATAAACTTGACAACGTATATTAATAAACTTGACAACAACGTTTATTTATGAACTTGACAACGTATATTGATAAGCTTTACAAAGTATATCGATAAACTTGACGTGTATTGATAAATTTGAGGGCGTATATATTTGCTGTCGGTATCAAATTAAGAGTAAACATAATCACTTTAAGTAATGAACTATTTGAGAATGTTTATCGTTACTGTCGGTTTTGATGAACTTGAGAGCGGATATAATAACTGTCGGTATTGATGAATTAAAAAGTGTACATAATAACTTGACAACGTATATTGATAAAATTGACGACGTTTATTTATGAACTTGACAACGTATATTGATAACCCCGACGACGTTTATTTATGAACTTGACAACGTATATTGATCCCCTTGACAACGTGTATTGATAAACTTGAAAACGTATATTGATAAACTTGACACCGTGTATTGATAAACTTGACAACGTATGTTGATAAACTTGACAAAGTATATTGATAAACTTGACAACGTATACTGATAAACTTAACAACGTATATTGATAAACTTGACGTGTATTGATAAAATTGAGAGCGTATATATTTACTGTCGGTATTGATCAAATTGATAGTGTATATAATTACTGTATGTTATGATAATATTGAGAGCATATATAATAACTGTCAGTATCGATTTTCTAATGAGTGTGTATTTTTGCTGTCGATATTGATAAACTTGAGAGTGTTTACATAGTTATTGTCGGTATTGATCAATTTCATAAACAAAAACATATTATACATAGTATATTTAAGTACGGTTTCAATGTTAAATATCAGTAACTGTTTATATACTTACTGTTGGCATTACAGAAGAATACTGTATAAAAGAAAAGAAGGAAAAACATTTGTGTTCGTATCCACTTAACCATTTTTAACACCAGATCAAATATTAAATCAAGCGAAGCTGGTATTAAGTTTTATAATTACGGTACGTATTGATAAACTTGACAACGTATATCGATAAACTTGACAACGTATATTGATAAATTTGACAACAACGTTTATTTATGAACTTGACAAAGTATATTGATAAACTTGACAACGTGTATTCATAAATTTGACACAATATACTGATAAACTTGACAACGTATATTAATAAACTTGACAAAGTATATCGATGAACTTGACACCGTGTATTGATAAAATTGAGAGCGTATGTATTTAATGTAGGTATTGGTCAAATAAGAGTAAACATAATCACTTTAAGTAATGAACTATTTGAGAATGTTTATCGTTACTGTCGGTTTTGATGAACTTGAGAGCGGATATAATAACTGTCGGTATTGATGAATCAAAAAGTGTACATAATAACTTGACAACGTATATTGATAACCCCGACGACGTTTATTTATGAACTTGACAACGTATATTGATCAACTTAACAACGTGTATTGATAAACTTGACAAAGTATATCGATAAACTTGACACCGTGTATTGATAAAATTGAGAGCGTATGTATTTAATGTAGGTATTGGTCAAATTGATATTGTATGTAATTACTGTATGTTATGATAATATTGAGAGCGTATATAATAACTGTCGGTATGGTTTTCTGATGAGTGTGTATTTTTACTGTCGATATTGATAATCTTGAGAGTGTTTATATAGTTATAAAAGAAGGAAAAATATTTGGAAACACCATCTTTGTTGTTCCTAAAATGTTGACGTTAAAGTGGATTGTAAATTTTGGCGTCAGTTTTGGTAGGTTGTGTTGTGACGTCATAATGTATCGTGACGTTATCACTTTCGGTGTTTTGTTGTTGTCCTACCAACATAAATAAACCATTCCCCTGATGAACCTCTTTGGGGAGAAATTGATAAACTTGACAACGTGGATTGATAAACTTGACAACGTGTATTGATAAACTTGACAATGTATTTTGATAAACTTGACAAAGTATATCGATGAACTTGACACCGTGTATTGATAAAATTGAGAGCGTATGTATTTAATGTAGGTATTGGGCAAATTGATATTGTATGTAATTACTGAATGTTATGATAATATTGAGAGCATATATAATAACTGTCAGTATCGATTTTCTAATGAGTGTGTATTTTTACTGTCGATATTGATAAACTTGAGAGTGTCTATATAGTTATTGTCGGTATTGATCAACTTCATAAACAAAAACATATTATACATAGAATATTTAAGTACAGATTCAATGTTAAATATCAGTAACCGTTTATATACTTACTGTTGGCATTGCAGAATACTGTATCAAAGAAAAGAAGGAAAAACATTTGTTTTCGTATCCACTTAACCATTTTTAACACCAGATCAAATATTAAATCAAGCAAACCATGTATTAAGTTCTATATTTACGGTACGTATTGATAAACTTGACAATGTTTATTGATGAACTTGGCAACGTGTAGTGATAGACTTGAAAACGTATATTGATAAACTTGACAAAGAATATCGATAAACTTGACACCGTGTATTGATAAACTTGAAAACGTATATTGATAAACTTGACAAAGTATATCGATGAACTTGACACCGTGTATTGATAAAATTGAGAGCGTATATATTTACTGTAGGTATTGGTCAAATTGTGAGTGTATGTAATTACTGTATGTTATGATAATATTGAGAGCATATATAATAACTGTCAGTATCGATTTTCTAATGAGTGTGTATTTTTACTGTCGATATTGATAATCTTGAGAGTGTTTATATAGTTATAAAAGAAGGAAAAATATTTGGAAACACCATCTTTGTTGTTCCTAAAATGTTGACGTTAAAGTGGATTGTAAATTTTGGCGTCAGTTTTGGTAGGTTGTGTTGTGACGTCATAATGTATCGTGACGTTATCACTTTCGGTGTTTTGTTGTTGTCCTACCAACATAAATAAACCATTCCCCTGATGAACCTCTTTGGGGAGAAATTGATAAACTTGACAACGTGGATTGATAAACTTGACAACGAATATTGATAAACTTGACAATGTTTATTGATGAACTTGGCAACGTGTATTGATAAACTTGGCAACGTATATTGATAAACTTGACAAAGTCTATCGATAAACTTGACACCGTGTATTGATAAACTTGAGAGCGTATGTATTTAATGTAGGTATTGGTCAAATTGTGAGTGTATGTAATTACTGTATGTTATGATAATATTGAGAGCGTATATAATAACTGTCGGTATTGATAAACTTGAGAGCGTATGTATTTAATGTAGGTATTGGTCAAATAAGAGTAAACATAATCACTTTAAGTAATGATCTATTTGAGAATGTTTATCATTACTGTCGGTTTTGATGAACTTGAGAGCGGATATAATAACTGTCGGTATTGATAAACTTGAGAGCGTATGTATTTAATGTAGGTATTGGGCAAATTGATATTGTATGTAATTACTGAATGTTATGATAATATTGAGAGCGTATATAATAACTGTCGGTTTGGTTTTCTTATGAGTGTGTATTTTTACTGTCGATATTGATAAACCTGAGAGTGTTTATATAGTTATAAAAGAAGGAAAAATATTTGGAAACACCATCTTTGTTGTTCCTAAAATGTTGACGTTAAAGTGGATTGTAAATTTTGGCGTCAGTTTTGGTAGGTTGTGTTGTGACGTCATAATGTATCGTGACGTTATCACTTTCGGTGTTTTGTTGTTGTCCTCCCAACATAAATAAACCATTCCCCTGATGAACCTCTTGGGGGAGAAAGCGCTAGGGAAGTAACAAGAACTATTGTCTTTTATTTTTATATATACGTATGACTGTATATAGACAACAAACTAGAACTGATTCTTTACGAAATCTTCATGTTAACAAACATATTCATGAATGTGTTGGAAATAAATTTAATGTATTATGTAATTACTGAATGTTATGATAATATTGAGAGCATATATAATAACTGTCGGTATTGATAAACTTGAGAGCGTATGTATTTAATGTAGGTATTGGTCAAATAAGAGTAAACATAATCACTTTAAGTAATGATCTATTTGAGAATGTTTATCATTACTGTCGGTTTTGATGAACTTGAGAGCGGATATAATAACTGTCGGTATGGTTTTCTTATGAGTGTGTATGTTTACTGTCGATATTGATAAACCTGAGAGTGTTTATATAGTTATAAAAGAAGGAAAAATATTTGGAAACACCATCTTTGTTGTTCCTAAAATGTTGACGTTAAAGTGGATTGTAAATTTTGGCGTCAGTTTTGGTAGGTTGTGTTGTGACGTCATAATGTATCGTGACGTTATCACTTTCGGTGTTTTGTTGTTGTCCTCCCAACATAAATAAACCATTCCCCTGATGAACCTCTTTGGGGAGAAATTGATAAACTTGACAACGTGGATTGATAAACTTGACAACGAATATTGATAAACTTGACAAAGTATATCGATAAACTTGACACCGTGTATTGATAAAATTGAGAGCGTATATATTTACTGTCGGTATTGATCAAATTGATAGTGTATATAATTACTGTATGTTATGATAATATTGAGAGCGTATATAATACCTGTCGGTATGGTTTTCTTATGAGTGTGTATGTTTACTGTCGATATTGATAAACCTGAGAGTGTTTATATAGTTACTGTCGGTATTGATCAAATTGATAGTGTATATAATTACTGTATGTTATGATAATATTGAGAGCGTATATAATACCTGTCGGTATGGTTTTCTTATGAGTGTGTATTTTTACTGTCGATATTGATAAACCTGAGAGTGTTTATATAGTTATAAAAGAAGGAAAAATATTTGGAAACACCATCTTTGTTGTTCCTAAAATGTTGACGTTAAAGTGGATTGTAAATTTTGGCGTCAGTTTTGGTAGGTTGTGTTGTGACGTCATAATGTATCGTGACGTTATCACTTTCGGTGTTTTGTTGTTGTCCTCCCAACATAAATAAACCATTCCCCTGATGAACCTCTTTGGGGAGAAATTGATAAACTTGACAACGAATATTGATAAACTTGACAATGTATTTTGATAAACTTGACAAAGTCTATCGATAAACTTGACACCGTGTATTGATAAAATTGAGAGCGTATGTATTTAATGTAGGTATTGGTCAAATAAGAGTAAACATAATCACTTTAAGTAATGATCTATTTGAGAATGTTTATCATTACTGTCGGTTTTGATGAACTTGAGAGCGGTCGGTATTTCTAAACTTGAAAGCGCAGATAATAATTGTCGGTATTTCTAAACTTGAAAGCTCAGATAATAACTGTCGGTATTTATAAACGTGAAAGCGCAGATAATAACTGTCGGTATTTATAGACTTGAAAGCGCAGATAATAATTGTCGGTATTTCTAAACTTGAAAGCGCAGATAATAACTGTCGGTATTGATAAACTTGAGAGCGTATGTATTTAATGTAGGTATTGGTCAAATTGTGAGTGTATGTAATTACTGAATGTTATGATAATATTGAGAGCGTATATAATAACTGTCGGTATGGTTTTCTGATGAGTGTGTATTTTTACTGTCGATATTGATAAACCTGAGAGTGTTTATATAGTTATAAAAGAAGGAAAAATATTTGGAAACACCATCTTTGTTGTTCCTAAAATGTTGACGTTAAAGTGGATTGTAAATTTTGGCGTCAGTTTTGGTAGGTTGTGTTGTGACGTCATAATGTATCGTGACGTTATCACTTTCGGTGTTTTGTTGTTGTCCTCCCAACATAAATAAACCATTCCCCTGATGAACCTCTTGGGGGAGAAAGCGCTAGGGAAGTAACAAGAACTATTGTCTTTTATTTTTATATAGACGTATGACTGTATATAGACAACAAACTAGAAATGATTCTTTACGAAATCTTCATTTTAACAAACATATTCATGAATGTGCTGGAAATAAATTTAATGTATTACCTTTGTATCAACTATTTCATCAGACACTATTTTAAGAGTAACGAAAGAAGACCAACTAATCAAAATATTAAAACCAAGTCTCAACAGGCCACAGTAAAGTTTTACGCTAAATTGTCCACCAATCTTGTGTACTTCGTGACGTCACGTTACTATTGTAGTGTGATGACATGTTATTGTGACGTCACAAAGTTGTTCTTTTGAATAAATCTGAAGAGCCCTGTGAAGGAGGAAAGCAGCTAGTATTTTAGTCGATCGTTAATCTTATTTTTTCTATATTCACTTCCTTCACATGGACATGTAATCCTTTTTATTATATATATATATACATATAGAATACAAACATAAATCTTTCAGATCGTGATAAATATATATTTATACGGTTTTTATGATGACTATCCGCGGTTGTAAATATACTTACCGATGCCTGTGCTCCAGGGTACTAAAGCGAAAAGAGAAAAGAAATATTTACTTTTTTTAACCCTCTTGACCCTTCTCCCCAACACCAACTGAAATCGTAAATTAGGTCTAAACGAGGTTTGACCTATGTCAATATTTTGGGACATTCCCCTAGCAAAAATAGCCAAAAAAATATTAACGACACATTTATGATGATAAACCATTTGTTGATTGAGTTTTATAATCAAACAAAATGTTTATAATTGTCACTGAGCGCTCTTTTTACTTAAACTGATTTGGTTACTTAATAATGTGTTTAAGATGAAGCAAAACCTTATCATCAAAACAAAATGTTACATTATCTTTTCAAACTCCTCAGTANTGTCGGTATTTATAAACTTGAAAGCGCAGATAATAATTGTCGGTATTTATAAACTTGAAAGCGCAGATAATAACTGTCGGTATTGATAAACTTGAGAGTGTTTATATAGTTATAAAAGAAGGAAAAATATTTGGAAACACCATCTTTGTTGTTCCTAAAATGTTGACGTTAAAGTGGATTGTAAATTTTGGCGTCAGTTTTGGTAGGTTGTGTTGTGACGTCATAATGTGTCGTGACGTTATCACTTTCGGTGTTTTGTTGTTGTCCTACCAACATAAATAAACCATTCCCCTGATGAACCTCTTGGGGGAGAAAGCGCTAGGGAAGTAACAAGAACTATTGTCTTTTATTTTTATATATACGTATGACTGTACATAGACAACAAACTAGAACTGATTCTTTACGAAATCTTCATTTTAACAAACATATTCATGAATGTGCTGGAGATAAATTTAATGTATTACCTTTGTATCAACTATTTCATCAGACGCTATTTTAAGAGTAACGAAAGAAGACCAACTAATCAAAATATTAAAACCAAGTCTCAACAGGCCACAGTAAAGTTTTACGCTAAATTGTCCACCAATCTTGTGTACTTCGTGACGTCACGTTACTATTGTAGTGTGATGACATGTTATTGTGACGTCACAAAGTTGTTCTTTTGAATAAATCTGAAGAGCCCTGTGAAGGAGGAAAGCAGCTAGTATTTTAGTCGATCGTTAATCTTATTTTTTCTATATTCACTTCCTTCACATGGACAAGTAATCCTTTTTATTATATATATATATACATATAGAATACAAACATAAATCTTTCAGATCGTGATAAATATATATTTATACGGTTTTTATGATGACTATCCGCGGTTGTAAATATACTTACCGATGCCTGTACTCCAGGGTACTAAAGCGAAAAGAGAAAAGAAATATTTACTTTTTTTAACCCTCTTGACCCTTCTCCCCAACACCAACTGAAATCGTAAATTAGGTCTAAACGAGGTTTGACCTATGTCAATATTTTGGGACATTCCCCTAGCAAAAATAGCCAAACAAATATTAACGACACATTTATGATGATAAACCATTTGTTGATTGAGTTTTATAATCAAACAAAATGTTTATAATTGTCACTGAGCGCTCTTTTTACTTAAACTGATTTGGTTACTTAATAATGTGTTTAAGATGAAGCAAAACCTTATCATCAAAACAAAATGTTACATTATCTTTTCAAACTCCTCAGTATTAACACTACTTACTACGCCTCCAGCGTTGAATCCACTGGTGTATGATGTCTAAAACATGGAAAAAAGGAAATCAACATTTAGAATTGCAGTTAAAACTCTCAGCGTGTAAACTATGCCTGTCCGGATTAACATATGTAGACACTGACAAACAGCCTCTATACTGTTTTAGGCAAGCATTCAATAGTTGTGCAAATTTAAAGATTATAAAACTGAAATTTGCTTTGAAAAACGGTTAACAAATCATTTTAAAAAATGGGGTTCTTTTTTAGTGGGACTATCAAATCATTTAAAGAGTTGGGATCTGCTTCGGGAGAGTGCTCTCAAATCCATGGAATGATTAGACAGTGTGAGGGAGAGGGGGTGTAAATTATATCACGTACGGGGGTGTTTCGGCAGAGGGGAAGTAAAGTCGTGTAAAGTTGACAACGTATATCGATAAACTTGACATGTATTGATAAATTTGAGAGCGTATATATTTACTGTCGGTATCAAATTAAGAGTAAACATAATTACTTAAAGTAATGATCTATTTGAGAATGTTTATCATTACTGTCGGTTTTGATGAACTTGAGAGCGGATATAATAACTGTCGGTATTGATAAATTAAAAAGTGTACATAATAACTTTTGGTATTGATCAAATTGAGAGCGTATATATTTACTGTCGGTATTGATCAAATTGATAGTGTATATAATTACTGTATGTTATGATAATATTGCGAGCGTATATAATAACTGTCGGTATGGATTTTCTTATGAGTGTGTATTTTTACTGTCGATATTGATAAACTTGAGAGTGTTTATATAGTTATTGTCGGTCTTGATCGATTTCATCAACAAAATAATAGTATACATAGTATATTTTAGTACGGTTTTAATGTTAAATATCAGTAACTGTTTATATACTTACTGTTGGCATTACAGAAGAATACTGTATAAAAGAAAAGAAGGAAAAACATTTGTTTTCGTATCCACTTAACCATTTTTAACACCAGATCAAATATTAAATCAAGCAAAACATGTATTAAGTTTTATAATTACGGTACGTATTGATAAATTTGACAACGTATATTGATAAACTTGACAACGTATATTGATAAACTTGACAGCGTTTATTGATACACTTGACAACGTATATTGATAAATTTGACAACGAGTATTGATAAACTTGACAACGTATACTGATAAACTTGACAAAGTATATTGATAAACTTGACAACAACGTTTATTTATGAACTTGACAACGTAAATTGATAAACTTGACAAAGTATATCGATAAACTTGACAAAGTATATCGATAAATTTGAGAGCGAATATATTTACTGTCGGTATCAAATTAAGAGTAAACATAATTACTTTAAGTAATGATCTATTTGAGAATGTTTATCATTACTGTCGGTTTTGATGAACTTGAGAGCGGATATAATAACTGTCGGTATTGATAAATTAAGAAGTGTACATAATAACTTGGTATTGATAAAATTGAGAGCGTATATATTTACTGTCGGTATTGATCAAATTGATAGTGTATATAATTACTGTATGTTATGATAATATTGAGAGCGTATATAATAACTGTCGGTATGGATTTTCTTATGAGTGTGTATTTTGACTGTCGATATTGATAAACTTGAGAGTGTTTATATAGTTATTGTCGGTATTGATCAATTTCATCAACAAAATAATATTATACATAGTATATTTAAATACAGTTTCAATGTTAAATATCAGTAACTGTTTATATACTTACTGTTGGCATTACAGAAGAATACTGTATAAAAGAAAAGAAGGAAAAACATTTGTTTTCGTATCCACTTAACCATTTTTAACACCAGATCAAATATTAAATCAAGCAAAACATGTATTAAGTTTTATATTTACGGTACGTATTGATAAATTTGACAACGTGTATTGATAAACTTGACAATGTATTTTGATAAACTTGACAAAGTATATCGATAAACTTGACGTGTATTGATAAATTTTAGAGAGTATATATTTACTGTCGGTATGAAATTAAGAGTTAACATAATTACTGTAAGTAATTATCTATTTGAGAATGTTTATCATTACTGCAAAGTTCAGATAATAACTGTCGGTATTTATAAACTTGAAAGCGCAGATAATAACTGTCGGTATTTATAAACTTGAAAGCGCAGATAATAACTGTCGGTATTTATAGACTTGAAAGCGCATATAATAATTGTCGGTACTGATAAACTTGAAAGCGCAGATAATAACTGTCGGTATTTATAAACTTGAAAGCGCAGATAATAACTGTCGGTATTTATAGACTTGAAAGCGCAGATAATAACTGTCGGTATTTATAGACTTGAAAGCGCAGATAATAATTGTCGGTATTTATAAACTTAAAAGCGCAGATAATAACTGTCGGTATTGATAAACTTGAGAGTGTTTATATAGTTATAAAAGAAGGAAAAATATTTGGAAACACCATCTTTGTTGTTCCTAAAATGTTGACGTTAAAGTGGATTGTCAATTTTGGCGTCAATTTTGGTAGGTTTTATTGTGACGTCATAATGTATCGTGACGTTATCACTTTCGGTGTTTTGTTGTTGTCCTACCAATATAAATAAACCATTCCCCTGATGAACCTCTTTGGGGAGAAAGCTCTAGAGAAGTAACAAAAACTCTTGTCTTTTATTTTTATATATACGTATGACTGTACATAGACAACAAAATAGAACTGATTCTTTACGAAATCTTCATTTTAACAAACATATTCATGAATGTGCTGGAGATAAATTTAATGTATTACCTTTGTATCAACTATTTTCATCAGACACTATTTTAAGAGTAACGAAAGAAGACCAACGAATCCAAATATAAAAACCAAGTCTCAACAGGCCACAGTACAGTTTTACGCTAAATTGTCCACCAATCTTGTGTACTTCGTGACGTCACGTTACTATTGTAGTGTGATGACATGTTAATGTGACGTCACAAAGTTGTTCTTCTGAATAAATCTGAAGAGCCCTGTGAAGGAGGAAAGCAGCTAGTTTTTTAGTCGGTCGTTAATCTTATTTTTTCTATATTCACTTCCTTCACATGGACATTTAATCCTTTTTTATTATATATATATATATATATATGACTATCAGCGGTTGTAAATATACTTACCGATGCCTGTACTCCAGGGTACTAAAGAGAAAAGAGAAAAGAAATATTTACTGTTTTTTTAACCCTCTTGACCCTTCTCCCCAACACCAGATGAAATCGTAAATTAGGTCTAAACGACGTTTGACCTATGTCAATATTTTGGGACATTCCCCTAGCAAAAAATAGCCAAAAAAATATTAACGACACATTTATGATGATAAACCATTTGTTGATTGAGTTTTATAATCAAACAAAATGTTTATAATTGTCACTGAGCGATCTTTTTACTTAAACTGATTTGGTTACTTAATAATATGTTTAAGATGAAGCAAAACCTTATCATCAAAACAAAATGTTACATTATCTTTTCAAACTCCTCAGTATTAACACTACTTACTACGCCTCCAGCGTTGAATCCATTGGTGTATGATGTCTAAAAAATGGAAAAGGGAAATCAACATTTAGAATTCCAGTTAAAACTCTCAGCGTGTAAACTATGCCTGTCCGGATTAACATACGTAGACACTGACAAACAGCCTCTATACTGTTTAAGGCAAGCATTCAATAGTTGTGCAAATTTAAAGATTATAAAACTGAAATTTGCTTTGAAAAACGGTTAACACATCACTTAAAAAATTGGGGTTCTTTTTTAGTGGGACTATCAAATCATTTAAAGAGTTGGGATCTGCTTCGAGAGAGTGCTCTCAAATCCATGGAATGATTAGAAACTCCTCAGTATTAACACTACTTACTACGCCTCCAGCGTTGAATCCATTGGTGTATGATGTCTAAAAAATGGAAAAGGGAAATCAACATTTAGAATTCCAGTTAAAACTCTCAGCGTGTAAACTATGCCTGTCCGGATTAACATACGTAGACACTGACAAACAGCCTCTATACTGTTTAAGGCAAGCATTCAATAGTTGTGCAAATTTAAAGATTATAAAACTGAAATTTGCTTTGAAAAACGGTTAACACATCACTTAAAAAATTGGGGTTCTTTTTTAGTGGGACTATCAAATCATTTAAAGAGTTGGGATCTGCTTCGAGAGAGTGCTCTCAAATCCATGGAATGATTAGAAACTCCTCAGTATTAACACTACTTACTACGCCTCCAGCGTTGAATCCATTGGTGTATGATGTCTAAAAAATGGAAAAGGGAAATCAACATTTAGAATTCCAGTTAAAACTCTCAGCGTGTAAACTATGCCTGTCCGGATTAACATACGTAGACACTGACAAACAGCCTCTATACTGTTTAAGGCAAGCATTCAATAGTTGTGCAAATTTAAAGATTATAAAACTGAAATTTGCTTTGAAAAACGTTTAACACATCACTTAAAAAATTGGGGTTCTTTTTTAGTGGGACTATCAAATCATTTAAAGAGTTGGGATCTGCTTCGAGAGAGTGCTCTCAAATCCATGGAATGATTAGAAAGTGTGAGGGAGAGGGGGTGTAAATTATATCACGTACGGGGGTGTTTCGGCAGAGGGGAAGTAAAGTCGTGTAAACTTGACAACGTATATCGATAAACTTGACGTGTATTGATAAATTTGAGAGCGTAAATATTTGCTGTCGGTATCAAATTAAGAGTAAACATAATTACTGTAAGTACTGATCTATTTGAGAATGTTTATCATTACTGTCGGTTTTGATGAACTTGAGAGCGGATATAATAACTGTCGGTATTGATAAATTAAAAAGTGTACATAATAACTTTTGGTATTGATAAAATTGAGAGCGTATATATTTACTGTCGGTATTGATCAAATTGATAGTGTATATAATTACTGTATATTATGATAATATTGCGAGCGTATATAATAACTGTCGGTATATATTTTCTTATGAGTGTGTATATTTACTGTCGATATTGATAAACTTGAGAGTGTTTATATAGTTATTGTCGGATTTGATCAATTTCATCAACAAAATAATATTATGCATAGTATATTTGAATACGGTTTCAATGTTAAATATCAGTAACTGTTTAAATACTTACTGTTGGCATTGCAGAATACTGTATAAAAGAAAAGAAGGAAAAACATTTGTTTTCGTATCCACTTAACCATTTTTAACACCAGATCAAATATTAAATCAAGCAAAACATGTATTAAGTTTTATGATTACGGTACGTATTGATAAACTTGACAAAGTATATCGATAAACTTGACGTGTATTGATAAATTTGAGAGCGTATATATTTACTGTCGGTATTGATCAAATTGAAGTTGCATATAATTACTGTATGTTATGATTAATTTAAGAATGTATATAATTACTGTATGTTATGATTAATTTGAGAATTTGAAACTTGAAAGCTCAGATAATAACTGTCGGTATTTATAAACTTGAAAGCGCATATAATAATTGTCGGTATTTATAAACTTCAAAGTGCAGATAATAACTGTCGGTATTTATAAACTTGAAAAGCAGATAATTACTGTATGTTATGATTAATTTGAGAATGTATATAATTACTGTATGTTATGATTAATTTGAGAATGTATATAATTACTGTCGGTATTGATCAAATTGAAAGGCAGATAATTACTGTCGGTATTGATCAAATTGAGACTTATATAATTACTCTAGGTTTGGATAAACTTGAGAGCGTTTATAATAACTGTCGGTATGGATTATCTTACGAGTGTGTATATTTTCTTTCGGTATTGATCAGATTGAGACTGTATATAATTACCGTTGGTTTGGATAATATTGATAGCGTATATAATTACTGTATGTTATGATAAACTTGAGAGCGTACATAATAAATGTCGGTATGGATTTTCTTATGAGTGTGAATATTTACTGTCGATATTGATAAACTTGAGAGTGTTTATATAGTTATAAAACAGCAGGATACATTATCTTTTCAAACTCATCAGTATGAACACTACTTACTACGCTTCCAGCGTTGATTCCACTGGTGTATGATGTCTAAAAAATGGAAAAAAGGAAATCAACATTTAGAATTGCAGTTAAAACTCTCAACGTGTAAACTATGCCTGTCCGGATTAACATACGTAGACACTGACAAACAGCCTCTATACTGTTTAAGGCAAGCATTCAATAGTTGTGCAAATTTTAAGATTATAAAACTGAAATTTGCTTTGAAAAGGGTCAAAAAATCATGTAAAAAGTTGGGGTTCTTTTTTAGTGAGGCTATCAAATAATTTAAGGAGTTGGGATCTGCTTCGAGAGAGTGCTCTCAAATCCATTGAATGATTAGAAAGTGTGAGGGAGAGGGTGTGTAAATTATATCACGTACGGGGGGTGTTTCGGGAGAGGGGAAGTAAAGTCGTGTAAATATTTTGGGTATTTTGGAATAATATCCGCGAGTTTAACGTGAGAGTGTATATAATTACTGTCGGTATTGATAAACGTGAGAGTGTATATTATCACTGTCGGTATTGATAAACGTGAGAGTGTATATAATTACTATCGGTATTGATAAACGTGAGAGTGTATATAATTACTATCGGTATTGATAAAATTGAGAGTGTAAATAATTACTGTCGATATTGATAAACGTGAGAGTGTATATAATTACTGTCGGTATTGTTAAACTTGAGAGTGTATATAATTACTGTCGGTATTGTTAAACTTGAGAGTGTATATAATTACTGTCGGTATTGATAAACTTGAGAGTGTATATAATTACTGTCGGTATTGTTAAACGTGAGAGTGTATATAATTACTATCGGTATTGATAAAATTGAGAGTGTAAATAATTACTGTCGGTATTGATAAACGTGAGAGTGTATATAATTACTATCGGTATTGATAAAATTGAGAGTGTAAATAATTACTGTCGATATTGATAAACGTGAGAGTGTATATAATTACTGTCGGTATTGATAAACGTGTGAGTGTAAATAATTACTGTCGGTATTGATAAACGTGAGAGGGTATATAATTACTGTCGGTATTGATAAACGTGAGAGCGTATATAATTACTGTCGGTATTGTTAAACTTGAGAGTGTATATAATTACTGTCGGTATTGATAAACTTGAGAGTGTATATAATCACTGTCGGTATTGATAACCGTGAGAGTGTATATAATTACTGTCGGTATTGATAAACTTGAGAGTGTATATAATTACTGTCGGTATTGTTAAACTTGAGAGTGTATATAATTACTGTCGGTATTGTTAAACGTGAGAGTGTATATAATTACTATCGGTATTGATAAACGTGAGAGTGTATATAATTACTGTCGGTATTGATAAACGTGAGAGTGCATATAATCACTGTCGGTATTGATAAACGTGAGAGTGTTTATATAGTTATTGTCGGTATTGATCAATTTCATTAACAAAATAATATTATACATAGTATTTTTAAATACGGTTTCAATGTTTAATATCAGTAACTGTTTAAATACTTACTGCTGGCATTGCAGAATACTGTATAAAAGAAAAGAAGGAAAAACATTTGTTTTCGTATCCATTTAACCATTTTTAACACCAGATCAAATAGTATAATAACTGGTATTAAGTTTTATAATTACGGTACGTATTGATAAACTTGACAACGTATATTGATAAACTTGACAACGTATATCGATAAACTTGACAACGTATATCGATAAACTTGACAACGTGTATTGATAAACTTGACAACGTGTATTGATAAACTTGACAACGTGTTTTGATAAACTTGACAACGTATATTGATAAACTTGAGAGAGTATATATTTGCTGTAAGTTTGATAGCAATAAGAGTGTATATGATTACTTTAGGCAATGATTTACCTTAGAGAATATTAAATCAAGTATAACTGGTATTAAGTTTTGTGTATATATTGTTTATTTCCCCTTGTGAAAAAGTAGTCCTTCAAATATTAACAGCACAATTTATGATGATATACCATATGATATAATTTAAAGAAGTATCATAATTGTCACTTCCATGTTGGAACTTCTTTCTGACCACGTAAACGGTCAAAGTGTAGTAAGTATGATTTGATTTTATTAGATTTAGCGAAACCAATTGATAACAATTGTTGGGATTTGTTCTAGGGGGGGGGGGGTATATATATATATTTGTATGTTTATATACGGTTTCTATGATGACTATCCGCGGTTGTAAATATACTTACCGATACGGGTCCTGCATTGTACTAAAAAGAAAACAAAAAGAAATATTTACTTTTTTAATCATCTTTACCCTTTCCAACACCTGATAAATTCGTAAATCAAGTCTACCCGACGTTTGACCTATATCAATATAGTGTGACCTTCTCCTAGTTAAAATAGCAATACAAATACAATGACACATTTATGATGATAAACCATGTGTTGATTGAGTTTTATAATCAAAACAAAATGTTTGTAATTGTCACCCTGCTGAGTGATCTTTTTACTAAAACAGATATGGTTACTTAAAATATTTCTTAGATGAAACAAAACTTTATCATTAAAACAAAATGTTACATTATCTTTTCAAACTCATCAGTATGAACACTACTTACTGCGTTTCCATAGCTGTATCCACCGTTGTATCTACCGCTGGAAGATGCCTAAAAAATGGAAAACAGGAAACCAACATTTAGAATTTCAGTTAAAACTCTCAACGTGTAAACAAAGCCTTTCCGGATTAACATTGGTAGACACTGACAAACGGACAAATAGCCTCCATACCATTTAACACAAGCATTCAATTGTTGTGTGTGTGTGAGGGGGGGGGGGTGTGTGGACGAGAGCATGAAATATAACATATAAATTTGGGTCATGTTTTTGGAGAGGCAAATTTAAAAAAAATGAAAGCTGGGATTTGCTTTGAAAAAACCCCGTAAAAAGTCATGTAAATGTTGGGGTTCGTTTCAAGTGGGGCTATCGAATCATTTAAAGCTTCTTCGAGAGAGTGCTGTCAAATCAATTGAATGATTAGGGTTTGTGCGGGAGAGGAGGTGTACATTATATCACGTTTGGGGATGGTTAGGGAGAAGGGATGTAAAATCGTGTAAATATTTTAGGGTAATTTGGTATAATGTCCTTGTGTCAAACTTAATGTGAAACATATGAATATATTTCAACATTGCAGCCATTCCAAAACAAATCAGGTGACCCGATGGATCAGGTTTCCATCTTGTCTCATACTTATTTTAATTTAAATAATGTATATAAATACCTTCAAAAAGTACTATTGAGGTTGATAACATACTATGTACGTGGATATTTTGAACAAAAAAAACTGATGATTAACATAATCATATAACGAAATATTGTTGCGAACGCTTTCCAACACATCTTTTAATTATCCTTGTCATCCGAGCTAAAATGTCGACCCACATTTAACACAATGTAAAAGCATGTTTTTCTGCCAGATCCTGATGGCGACCATAAAACTTGTCAATGGTCTTGATCAACCTGCTTATTTGGAAACACCGTAGGTAGGGGATGTAGGGATATTCCTATCAAGAAAGGGAAAGTTCACAATTGCAAACTTGAAATCGTCCTGTTTACCGTACAGCTTAGTAGTTAGCCTACCCTGTTGGTCATGGTGTAAGTAAAGATCGAGAAATGCGGATGGAGTGATTTAGTCTTGTCTGTTTAGTCTTTTATTACAAGCTCTGGAGGAAAAATACGATAGATGTGGTCAACGATTTTTTCTTGGTCAAAGACAGTACAAAATGAAGCGTTTGGATGTTTGCTTTTTATTAAAGACTAAATATTTTGTGAAGAAAAAGTTGTAAGATTTGAACAAAAATACACACTTGAAAGGTTGTGTAGAAACGGATTTGCCTTGTTTAACGTCTTTTTATTTGTTATGTCAAAGGTAGATGATATGTATATAATGTGAAGGTTGCGCAAGTACTGTTTTGTTTATTTATCCCATCGTAGAATTTCTTACATCTCTCTCATATAAGCGTAGTAGGTTACATTTTTATCTTCACTTAAACAAAACTATGAATACACTTTTCCAAAAGTTTTTACTCAGATTTGACTATTACTGGTTGAAAATCCTTTGAGAAACTTTGGGAAAATTTCTAAATCAGAAAGTGATATACTTGTCAGGAATTTCCTATTTAAAACGAGACAGGGGTTAATTATTTATGTCTTTTCGTACTGTTCCTATCTTATACAAATTAAAATTAAATCGTAATAAGGTATTTAGGTTTACCTTCTAATAACATTAAAACATTTTATATATAGAAAAAGATAATATTATAGCGTCATAAAATCTGCCTTGTATAAATATGTCTATTAAAACAGACATATTGAGTAAGAAAATAGTTTAAACTGAAACATTAATTAATGTGAAAATTAAAACATGTACAACAACAAACGGACATGTATAAATTAAAACATGCACAACAACAAACGAGCATATGTAAATTAAAACATGCACAACAACAAACGGACATGTGTAAATTAAAATATGTACAACAACAAACGGACATGTGTAAACTAAAACATGTACAACAACAAACGAATATGTGTAAATTAAAACATGCACAACAACAAACGGACATATGTAAATTAAAACATGCACAACAACAAACGGACATGTGTAAATTAAAATATGTACAACAACAAACGGACATGTGTAAATTAAAACATGTACAACAACAAACGGACATGTGTAAATTAAAACATGCACAACAACAAACGGACATGTGTACATTAAAACATGCACAACAACAAACGGGCATATGTAAATTAAAACATGCACAACAACAAACGGATATATGGCAGTGAAAACATACAGGATAAACGTGTTATTTGCGGGAAAATATTAATCACATGTATGCAAGGTTGGACATACACATTAAAATATATTTTGATATACATATATATAATAAGAAAATGTTTTACCCCTTGTCCGCTCTAAAAGAAAAAACAAGTTGCTAAATATTAGCATCAACGTTCCTTTGTACGGTATTTATCATATACACCATAGAAATAATACAGCGACGAATCTGATTGGATACAGTTTGGTGACTATGATTGACAAGACACTCTGCATACAGATTTACTTATATATATAAGATAAGAACCGAATATCCTGATATACAATAAACTTTTCCTACTGTAGGTCAACTATATCAATTTAATTAGATTGTGAACATTTTGTAATTAACCAGAATAACGTATTTCTACATTGTATGAATTTCTAGCTCAGTATGTGCATTTTATCATTAAAAGCTATAATGTCATTCCCTGACCTACTAACACAGACTTAATATGACTTACTATTTGAGCAACGAAGCCTGGCATTCCGCTGCCGACAGATGTGGCACCTTGGTTAAAGGCATATGTTGGTGCCTGCGCGTACATAGCGGTATTACCCTGCATATGCCCGCCATAAACGGGTGCGGAATACCCGACGGATGTTTGGATTGGAGCATACGTTGACAGTACGGAGGACACACAGACCAGCAGGAGGATTGCAACCTTCATCTTGTTACCTTTGTTACACTTGGTGAATCACCTAAAAATATTACGTATTTCACATGTAAAGCTATTTTCTACTAGGTTGACTTTGTAAGCTTATTTTCAATTGGCGTACTCGCTGTTGTTCATCTTTGATGATCTATACCACATTATTTGTACAAACGATGTTTGTTATTGTAAACGTTACATCTGTGATTTAAGCTGCTAGTTATCCCTATGTATGACATATGTTATGTTTGTTATTGTAAACGTTACATCTGTGATTTAAGCTTCTAGTTATCCCTATGTATGACATATGTTATGTTTCAGTATAGTAAAACATTTATATGTAATAGTTATCTCTCATAAGATGTATGTTATCTTATCCGCATTCATAATATTTTTATGTCACTTTATTTCCAATTGTTGTGTGGTGTATGCTGACATCTTCGCTACGTTTGTAATTAATGTTACATTATCTAACGATCAATGTAACACCTTTTACCTGTAACTAATGTTACATTATCTAACGATCAATGTTACACCTTATACCCGTAATTAATGCTACATTATCTAACGATCAATGTAACACCTTATACCTGTAACTAATGTTACATTATCTAACGATCAATGTTACACCTTATACCTGTAACTAATGCTACATAATCTAACGATAACTAACTGACTACTTTATAACACCCACACCAGACTATTTTTATAACACCCACACCTGACTACTTTATAACACCCTCACATGACTACTTTATAGCACCCCATGTAAATGCTTTAGAACATTTTCATAGCTAACTCGTGCATCTTTTGTTATAAGAAATAATTCTACTCGGAACTGTGCTATAAATTAACACGGATTGATTTCTCGTAGCAATATCTACTAAACAATATTGATGAAGTTTTTTTATATGATATTATGTACTTGTTTTGTTATGTTTTATATGTAGATATGTTTTGATATAGAGTTAAGCTAGGTATCCAGTTTTATGGCTCTTACATCGCGCTATCCATATTTCAACTGAAAAGCTTGATAGAAATGATAAGAACTAGAATATATTGGTGCGAATACCTCCTTAATTATTAAAGCACACAGGCAAAAATGTATTGACAATGTATCATATAAAAATATTTAATCTGCTGTAAAACTCTTAGCTAACTATCCCGGCGTATTCAAACTTCTGAAAAACTCTTCGTTAATTTCGCCGTTGCATTTACACATCTATAAAACTTTTGTTTAACTCTTCCGGTGTATTTATAAGCTCTCCCGGGGTATTTAAACATCTGTTAAAAACAACTCCATAATAAGTCTGAATTGACAATAGGCTGGCCGAAACACGTTTTAAGGGAAACAACACATTACACGATTGATAATTAAAACAATTCTGTAAAATAAAAAAATAAAAAACAAATATTTTATCAAATTAAACTGTATAGCTTTTTATTTTTCCATGCTGATAAAAAGGACATGAAAATAAGCAAGACAGCTTTCTGTCTAAATAACCACGAAATAGTACTTCCTTGAGAATAAGATAAAAGCCTGCGATTCCCTACTCAAATAAAGATATAAGCCTGCGATTCCTTACTAAAATAATATGTATGATACAACCCTGCGATTCCTTACTAAAAATAAGATACAAGCCTGCGATTCCTTACTTTAATAAGTTACAAGCCTGCGATTTCTTACTAAATATCAGATACAAGCCAGCGATTTCTTACTTAAAATAAGATGAAACCCTGTGATTCCTTGCTAAATATCAGATACAAGCCTTCGATTCCTTACTAAATTTCAGATACAAGTCTGCGATTTCTTACTAAAAATAAGATACAAGTCTGCGATTTCTTACCAAAATAAGATACACGACTGTTATTCCTTACTAAAATAAGATACAAGCCTGCGATTCCTTACCAAATAACAGATACAAGCCTGCGATTCCTTACCAAATAACAGATACAAGAAGGCGATTTCTTACGAAAATAAGATACAAGACTCTAATTCTTACTTAAATCAGATACAAGCCTGCGATTTCTTACTAAAATAAGATACAAGCCTGCGATTCCTTACGAAAATAAGATACAATCCTGCGATTTCTTACTAAAATAAAATACAAGCCTGCGATTTCTTACTATAATCAGATACAAGCCTAAGATTCCTTATCAAAATAAAATACAAGTCTACGATTCTTTACTAAAATAAGATATAAACCTGTGATTCTTTACTAAAAAAAATATACAAGGCTGCGACTGACTAAAAAAATATACAAGCCTCTGAATCCTTACTAAAAATTAATACAAGCCTGCAATTTCTCACTATAATAAGATACAGGCCTGCAATTCCTTACTTATATAAGTTACAAGCCTGTGATTCCTTACTTAAATAAGTTACAAGCCTGTGATTCCTTACTTAAAATTACATAAAAGCCTGCGATTCCTTACTAAAACAAGATACACTCTTGAGATTCCTTACTAAAATAAAATATCCAGAGATTCCTTCCAACAAATAAGATACAGGCCTGCGATTCCTTACTAAAACAAGATACAATCCTGAGATTCCTTACTAAAATAAGTTACAATCCTGCGATTCCTTCCAACAAATCAGATACAATCCTGAGATTCCTTACTAAAATAAGATACAGGCCTGCGATTTCTTACCAAATTAAGATACAATCCTGAGATTTCTTACTAAAATAAGATACAATCCTGAGATTCCTTACTAAAATAAGATACCATCCTGAGATTCCTTACTAAATTAAGATACAATCCTGAAATTCCTTACTTAATATCAGATACAAGCCTGCTATTCCTTAATAAAATAAGATACAATCCTGCGATACCTTACTAAATGTAATATACAAGCAAGGGATTCCATACTCAAAATTAATATAAGGTGCGGCTTTTTATCATGATTTTAGGGTTTGTTATTTTGTTATTTGTAAGATGTGACGGTATATAAAATTTCTTGAATGTTATAACAAATATTATGTATTCCAGGGTTTTGAAACCTCTTTAACATTTTGATACTACTATCTTGGTATAAGTAAACTCCCTTAACACTACACTATCTCTGATACACTCATTTCATTACACTATCTATGAAACACTCATTTCAGTACACTATCTCTGATACACTCATTTCAGTACACTATCTCTGATACACTCATTTTAGTACACTATCTCTGATAAACTCATTTCAGTACACTATCTCTGATACACTCATTTCAGTATACTATCTCTGATACACTCATCACAGTGTATTTAAACATCTGTAAAACTCTCAGATTATGATAGGAACAACATCGGCTAATATAAGAAAGCAAAACGCCTAAAAATCAAGACAAATACTGAAGATGCTTTTCAATGAATTAATAAAAATTTGATATTATTTAATATTTCTCTAGAGACCGAGGTTAGGTCCATTATGTCATACAATACATATGTTTAGCTACTAGTTATAATCGCTCTGTAAGGATCTATATCAAAAGTAAATGCAACAAACTTACCTGATAAAAGAGGAAATGACTGCTACCTTTGGCTGTTTATGGAGGAGTAACAGACATTTCTTCGGCCTGATATTTATATACAATTTCTTACTGATCCATCATGGCCGACGATCTACCTGAATGAATAGTTTCGTGACGTAGAGGGGTGTCCATCAAAACACTCGTAACAAATGTATGCATCATAATGACACACAAAAACACACAAAGGTACGCTTCACAAAATCCTAGATTTGTTTTAAGATACAAAAGAAACGCATTTAATAGAGAGCTTGACCGGACAGCTTGAACAAGTCATCGTTAACAGATGAAGACATATCTAGTGAGACACAACTGACTAGCGAAACGAACTGTGCCTAGCGACTTCGTGCCCCATCAAACACAATATTAGATATATCACGGGAGGGTCCACACGTATCAAATAAAATAAGTTTGTCCTCAAGCAACCGGTGGTATTGTTGTAACCTTTTTAATGACTCCATGTCAATACTTAATATAATTTATTCAACTGCAACTAAAATACCTAGGAGGCTTTTCTAGTGTTCTTTTTCTATTTACAGAAGCATCTGAAAGATTTCTGATAGACATGGTTGGAACTGGTCAGTCCACTAATCTTTTTATCGAAATGACGGGTAAATAACGCCATCTGGTCGATTTTCCTCAAACGTAAACTCGACATTTGTTCCCTAAGCTAGATTGATAAAGATAAGTAAAAACAGTATGAACCCTTAATATAATTTATCTCTTATATAATTTTGTTTAAACGACTGCGTTAACGTAACAACGCACATAAACAGAAATGTGCTCATACAATAATTGTTATGAAGTATATTGAAACACGTGTTTTTTATATTTTAAGTGAATTGTGAGAAATATAAAACATATTAAAGCATCAATGGGAAATAAAATCAAGGAGACAAGAAGACAGTGTAAAGGCATCAAGAACCCCTGCAATAGCCGGGGTTAGACAATGCATTACATAAATGTGAGCAAATCCTGCACCACATTTTCGTTACACCACACATTCAAATGAATACAACAAAATGGTGGTGCACTGTTCGACCTCAATATGTACGTCAATCATAATATATCATGCGGACAATTCTACCGTATCGAGACTTACTTTTTTATGTGTATTTACGCTGAACGATTTTTTTTAACTAATCATAACTGAAGAACAGAATATTTAAAACGTGATGGAAGCCAATTATATAAAAAAAATAATCCCGGTGAACAATCAGAAGAAAGATGCACCTACTGTATGACAACAATTGTCACCTCACTTCTAACTTTGACTTTCACTTGTATGAAAACTATTGTCACCTTACCACCTTTGCGAACCAAAGAGCAATTGTAGTCAAAAAGCTAATTGGACGATGTTAGAAACAGGGAGTCTGAGAGTCTTTATCAACAATGGTGACAAATTGTAGCTATGAGTAAAATTCTTTGGGTTCGATTCCCGCAAGATATTATCGATTCCGCTAGATATTTACCTTGCTACTCAATTACCTAGAGTGAAGTATAATTTACCTTATATTGGGTTTTACTTGGTTTTTTACTGTTGTAACCAAAAGGAATGTCGTTGGAAATGCAGGCCCATAACAAGCAGAACATCTTGGTGGGCATACACCAAAACTCCCTCACACGTAATCAATAATTATGGAGGCTTGGTTTCATATTGTTTACCGTCCTAGTAACAGCTAAGGTCATTTAAGGACGTGCCTCCATGTGTGTAGTGTATGCGTGCTTGTGTGTATGAGTGTTGGAAGCAAGGTATATTGGTGTACTTGCCTCCCTGTGATAGCACGGATCTGATGCCCACCTTTTAGTGATATCTCACTGAAATACCATGCCGATGGCACCCAACACAGTATTCCGCCCGGTTACATTATACTGTTAACGGGTGAACCAGTTGTTGCCATTCCCCTAAATGCTGAACGTTAAGCAGTGAATAACAACTACCATTTTAAGGACTTTGGTATGTCTCGGCCTGGGGACAGAACCAACTGCTTTCCTCACCTGGGCGAACGTTCAACATTAAAGATAAATGTGAGGTGTTGCCATGTAGATAGCACGAAAGCAAATCCCCAATTCTGCAGGGGGTTCTTGCATTAGTCGCCTTTTACGATACATGCAGTGGGTAAAAGCAGGTGTATACTTTTCTCGATCCCCGACCTGCATGGAGTGTATTTTCGAGGTACGTCATCCAGATTGGATATTTTATTTCTCCCCTAATTTGAATGTTAACTCCTTAGACAAATTTGTTTGAGGTTAAATTGGGCAATATACAAATAATCTATCATAAATTATTGATAATAATAATTAAAGGTCTCCCTAACTCTTGTACTGGAGAATTTTAAGTATTTGAAACTTAAGACGAGATTCGTGGTTTCATAGTAATCTTGTAGAAGTTTTCAAAATCAATATATAATTAATAAAGCAGCATGAATTAGCTGTATCCTGTGGTTATATGCTGGTAACTCTCTTGTAAATAATGTAAATATGACAATGACATTGTAAATCGTGTACAATGGACATATAATTCTTAATGAATATCCTGAATGATAGAGCTTATAGATTGAATTCTATTTTCTACGATGACAGTTAGTGTCACTATATTCAAGTGAAGCAGAATGATCGAGAGGGGATGGGTCAAACTGTTCTTCTATGAAAAAGGAATAAATATGTGATCCAACAATCTGACAATGATAATGTGTATGTGTGACTAGGTAGATTTAAATCGCTGCGATAATGACATAGCTCGTTCAAGTGTCATGAGCATTTGTGAGCATATCATATCTATAACTTGATATAATATCATAAATAGTGTAAGTATGTCATGTCTACCAATTGTTTTAGAATACTGAATTGTTCCAATATTCCGGCAAAGTTTGAAGCCATCTAGACAAGGAATCCTGGGCTTGTTTTCAAAGCCAATGTATTTTTCAAATGAGGCTATTCGTTATTACAGTTACTTGAATATTTGTGTATGTGTCAGTACTTTTACTTTGAGGATTTGAATGTTTGCATGTGAGCTCTGTTACCGTTTATACCATCATTCGTGAAAATTTGAATGCCGGCTTAGTTTAATTGCTCTTTATTTTAGATCATGTTTGTAATTGGGCATAAGTTTATGTAAAATCATGTTTATGACTGGGTTGATACTAGTCTATAATATCATGTTTATGACTGGGTTGATACTAGTCTATAATATCATGTTTATGACTGGGTTGATACTAGTCTATAATATCATGTTTATGACTGGGTTGATACTAGTCTATAATATCATGTTTATGACTGGGTTGATACTAGTCTATAATATCATGTTTATGACTGGGTTGATACTAGTCTATAATATCATGTTTATGACTGGGTTGATACTAGTCTATAATATCATGTTTATGACTGGGTTGATACTAGTCTATAATATCATGTTTATGACTGGGTTGATACTAGTCTATAATATCATGTTTATGACTGGGTTGATACTAGCCTATAATATCATGTTTATGACTGGGTGATACTAGTCTATAATATCATGTTTATGACTGGGTTGATACTAGTTTATAATATCATGTTTATGACTGGGTTGATACTAGTCTATAATATCATGTTTATGACTGGGTTGATACTAGTCTATTATATCATGTTTGAGGTGGGTTCAGCATGCTTCTCGTGTTAATATGTTGGTAGTTTGTTTAACTCAAGTGTATTACTGACAAATTCAAATCAATAAATCATGTTTACAATCTGGTGAATTCATGACGGCAACTTGTAATTAATTCGTATCTGAAATAAGGTGAATTAAAGTCTAATTTGTCATCATATTACATGTGTAATGGGTCGATTCAAGTGAATTACTTGCTAAAAACCATGAATTTAATATTTTGTCGCTAGTCTTATATTTCATTGGGTTAAATTAAGTCAACAATTTGTTGTAAAATCGGTTGTTGTATTTTGTAATTAGGTCATTTCAAGTCCATAACTTGTTTAAAAACTTTTTCGTAATTGTATCAATTACAGACTATCAGTTGTTAAAAACCATGTTTGAAAAAAAGGTAAAATCGTGTCTTTTAGTTAACAAGTACATATGAAATTAAACTTATGAATAATTATATAAACGAAGAAAATAATTTCAAATTTTAAGATATAATAAGCCGATACAGAAAGTAAATTAAGAAAACACTTCCTGCCCGATATGACCATATCGTCCATCTAGGACTCTCTACTACTCTACTAGTCGACAAAAGAATGAAAAGTTAAAATACAACAAAAGAGTGATGGTGCAAAGGAGAGATGACACATATTTTAGCTATAACATAATATTAAAAACCTATTTAGTAGTTAATGTAAACCGTTAAAGAGTATTACTGTTGAATATATCTTTTCGAATGTTGTTTTTGATCGAATAAGTCCCATTGTTTATTGGTTATTAAATGAATGTGTCTCTTTAAGCATGAACTAGATGAGTCTTTGTGCGTTGATTATTGATTGTTGATTGAATGGACCTATCTGTACATTGATTTTAGATTGAATGGACCTATCTGTACATTGATTGTTGATTGAATGGACATATATGTTCATTGATTTTAGATTGAATGGACCTAACTGTACATTGATTTTAGATTGAATGGACCTATCTGTACATTGATTTTAGATTGAATGGGCCTATCTATACATTAATTTTAGA